TTAATATTTTAGTTCCACTGGAGGGATAATGTTGGCCTATTGGGTATCATGGTTATTAGAACTCCAAGAAGATGTATGAAACATTTTACCCCCAGTGGAAACAATATGGGAATTGTAAATGAATGCTGAAAAGTCACTATCTTTCACTCCTTTTTCACTAAAATATTCCTAAAGTGGTGGTAGGGTTTTACTTCCACAAAGAAGACTAAAACTGTGAATGAAAAGCGGTTACTTAGAGGATTATTGTTTTAGTTCTGTGGCGGCCTAAGCCATTGTCTGAACTAATTTATCCACGGGTTTTTTTCCTCTTAGCTGAGTAGTGCAAAACAATGACAGCTTGGCTTTTAAAACAAAGTTTTTGAAAACCCGAAGTTACATCTAGCTTTGCATCTAGAAATGGATTGCAAAGCAAAGCTCACTCTGAATGGAGTATTATTGTGCTCCCAGTAGTGAAAACAGAGTGCAAACGAATGCTAGTGTTTGATGGTAACACAAGACACCAATTCTGTTCTGCAGGTTATTTGCCAAGAGGCTGCAAGCAGCGAACAGCACAACCTCATTCATAGATTTGAGATGTCCAAATACTCAAAATCCAGTAAGAATCACTAAAGCTGGGATGTCCAACTTTGGCAACTTTTAAGACTGGTGGACTTCAACTCCCAGAACTCCCCAGCTTTTTCAAAAGGCAACTGGACTTTCTTTTGTATTTCCTTGAAGGCGTCTTAATTCTCATCAAAGAACAGTGGTGGGATTCAAATTTTTTTACTACTAGTTCTGTGGGCGTTGTTTGATGGGCGTGGCAGGGGAAGGTTATTGCAAAATCCCATTCCCTCCCTACTTCACTAACCTGCTTTCCAGCTCCGTTCTCCTGTGCAGGGCAACAAAAGAAGACCCAGCCGATCAGCTGGGAGTCAGGAGGCAGAGAAGAGATGGGGGCAGGGCCAATCAGAGGTGGCTTTTGCCAGCTCTCCAAACTACTCAAAATTTCTGCTACCGGTTCTCTAGAACTGATCAGAACCTGCTGAATACCACCTCTGTCCCAGAAGCTTCTTCAGTTCTGATTTCAACTTCCATCAGAACCGAAGAAGCCTCTTGGATGAGAAACAAAACACCTTCAGAAAAAAAAAAGAGTCAAGTTCCCTTTTGAAAAAGCTGGGGAATTCTGGGAGTTGAAGTCCACCAGTTTTTAAAGTTGCCGAAGTTGGACACCCCAGCTTTAGCATTTCTTACTGGCTTTTGAGTCTGGTTGCCGTTTTTTTAAAAGCACATTTGGGATACAGCAGAGCACCACTTCCCCATAGCATCCATTTCTCAAGCATCCAGTATTGATTTGGATGGTCTTCTGCGTATTCCAGAAAGACAGATTTAATCTACTGTCGGAAAAAAATATCCATCTGGTTCAGTTCCAAGCTGGGAGAAAGACACTGGAAACATGGAGGCTGGTTGGAAAGATGGTTTAATGGAGCAGAACCATTAAGCACATGGTCCTGGTGCAGCTGACAACATGACTTGGGGAGAGAAAGAGATTTATACCCTCTCTCGGCTTTGAATTTGAGCTTCCTGTTCCTGTGGTAAGGGCATGTATTCAATTGGTTGCTGTCAGACTCCCTTGGGGCTATGCAGGGGTCATGTTTGTCTTGAAGTCAAGTTTGGTTCAAATGTAGAGGGTGATGATGTAATGAAGGGGCTTGGTTGTGCCATGTGGTGAGTTCTGCTGATAGATAATCCTATTATGTCCTGGAGGGTCACGTCTTAATCCCATCACCCTGGAGCAGAGGTCTAATTGTCTTGTAGATGGGCTGGCCCAGTTCTTAATGGGCACCAAATATCTGCAGGGAGCTGCTTTCTGCCTTTAAAAACATGTTTCTCCTTTTCTCATCCAGTGAAATATAATATTCTGCCTTTTTAATATTTCCTAAAATGTTTCATTCTTCTAGGAGGGGGGTGGGTGCTAACTTTCTACAGTACATATACAGAATTTGTCCCTTTTCCCTTCTGAAAGCCATTTGAAAAGCCTAGAGGGCAAGTAACATGCTCCTTACTGCTAAATAAATATGTGTAGATAAGCATTATCCCAAATTAGACCTACAGTATTTTTGAGCCTTCCCCATTATTCCTCCTCCCTTTGAAGTTTTAGATAGCTATTATCTCATATTTGGATGAAAACTTTTTAAGTACCTTGAAAATGTAAAGAAAAGAGAACTTTTTATCTCTTGAAAAGCTTATCTATACAAAGTTCCACCTGGCCCTTCAACACAGGAGGATTTTATTTTTTTTCCAAAGGCTGTTTTATGAAAAAGGTTCAGTCCTTCTTTCCCATTTCATTCTGCCCTTTGATGGAGTAATGGAGCATGAAGTGCTTCCTTCTCACATACCCATTTTTTCTGATGAGTCATAAAACTAGCCACCATTTTCACTGGAATCTCTCCAATAACTTGCCTCACAAGGACTGGATCAGTTTTGAAATCCAGTTTAGAGCCTTTGCTTTCAACCTTTTCTCATCAGGTTTCCTCGGAGTGACTCAGCCCTCGTTGTGCAGATATGGTTACCTTGACTATCGGTCCTGTCATGGTTGACTGTAGAAATATATTATGTTCATGGATGAAGAAGGTGGGGTGAGAAATATCTTGAGGATGTTGATGGGCTGTTAAAGCATCTAGTCTAGGCACTCAAAACATTATCTTAAAGTTTACATCCCAGGCCTCTGCATAAGTAGGGAAACTGGATTGTTTTATGGTACATGAACATCATTAAGACAGTGTTGGAAGAAATGCCCATCTGGGTTCGGTTCCAAGCAGGGAGAAAGACACTGGAAACTTGGCGACTGCTTGGAAAGATGGTTTAATGGTGGACAGCACCACATGGTTGTCAGACTCCATGAGGCTTTGTATGTTGTCTTGAGTCCCAGGCTTGGTTGAATCTTGCTGGGTGATGTAATAAAGGGGCTTCAGGCAATTCCTATTATGGCTTAATGGCTTTGTCCTGCTGTCCAGAGTTGCCTCCGGCCAAGACAGGTAGCATAATAGAGATAGATAGATAGATGATAGATAGATATAGATATAGATGAGAGAAAAGAGAGTTAGAAAATTGAGATGATAGATGGATGGATGGATGGATGGATGGATAGATAGATAGATAGATAGATAGATAGATAGATAGATAGATAGAT